CCGGAAGCTGTACGCCGGCTCCCTCAGCCAATAAAGCGAGATGAACGTCGCAACCCCAGAGTCGTCCGCAACTGGACCTAATGTTCAGGGGTCCCTTTACCTTTACTTTTTAGTGGAATAAGGAAGAAAGTCTCAGCTCTTAGGTGTGCATCTTGCATGAGGTGGGACAGTTGGAACAGGGCAGTGTGGGCAAGTGGCAGGTGACATGAGAGAGTGTAAAATACATCAGTGGAAGCTCATGCCTAATTGTCCCCAACTTAGCACCCAGAGGGGGGAAAGCATAGGAGAACTTCCTACAAATCCATGAACTAAGACATACCTACTATTACAGGAAACAAGAAACTTCCTTCCAACCAATAGGGCACAGAGAGGGGTCGAAGTGTGAAGGGAAAGTTAACCCTTACCTCTCCATCTGTGGCCCAATTAAAACTCCACTGGAAGAATCGGTCCTGGAGGTCCTGCTGAACATGATTAGAAGGGACCGGTTGGTTAAAGGTATACAGGTCGGAGCTAAACAGTATAAACTGAGAGCATTTGCAGAAGATCTAGTTTTGACGTTACAGGAGCTCTAATCTAGTACTAAAAGAGTTTTAGAACTAATTCAAGAATTCTGTCAGGTGGCAGGATTCAAATTGAACAAGTCAAAAACTAAGGTTTTAGAGAAAAACTTAACATTGACTGAAAGAGAGAAGTTCCAGAATGAAACAGGTTTAACTGTGGTTAAGAAAGTGAAATACCTGGGGATTAACATGATAGCTAAAAATGGGAATTTGTTTAAAGATAACTATGAAAAATGTTGGATGGAAGTGAAAAAAGATTTAGAAATTTGGTCAAATTTGAAGCTTTCCTTCTTGGGTCGAATTGCAGTCATAAAGATGAATGTATTGCCTAGAATGTTGTTTTTGTTTCAAACATAGCAAATTGTGGACAAGATGGACTGTTTCAAGAAGTGGCAGAAAGATATTTCTAAATTTGTCTGGCAGGGCAAGAAGCCCAGAATAAAATTTAAGATATTAACTGATGCAAAGGAAAGGGGTGGATTTGCCCTGCCAGACTTTAAACTTTATTATGAATCAGCAGCGTTCTGCTGGCTGAAAGACTGGCTGCTTCTTGAGAACACAGACATTTTGGATTTAGAAGCTTTTAACAACGTTTTTGGGTGGCATGCATATTTGTGGTATGACAAGGTTAAAGCACATAAAGCATTTAAAAACCATATTGTCAGGAAAGCATTGTTTAATGTTTGGATTAGATATAAGGATTTATTGGAAAATAAAACCCCAAGGTGGTTGTCACCAATGGAAGCGAAAGCTCAGAAAAAGCTCAATATGGAGGCCAAATGGCCGAAATATTGGGAAATTTTGGAACAAGAAGGAGATAGTCTGAAACTGCAGAGTTTTGAGAAACCAAAAAACAAAAGTGTGAGACTGGCTTCATTATTATCAGATAATGGAGGCTTATAATTTGGATAAGAAAGTTGGCTTCCAGGTGGAAAAATCCAAATTGGAAACAGAACTGTTAGAATCCAAAACTAAGATTTTGTCAAAAATGTATAACTTGCTGCTGAAATGGAACACTCAGGATGAGACGGTCAAATCTGCTATGATTAAATGGGCACAAGATGTTGGACATAACATTATGTTTGCTGACTGGGAACAGTTGTGGACCACTGGGATGAAATTTACGGCATGTAATGCCTTAAGAGAAAATATTATGAAAATGATATACAGGTGGTACATGACCCCAGTCAAGCTTGCAAAAATTTACCATTTGCCCGATAATAAATGTTGGAAATGCAAAGAAAATGAAGTGAACATTCTTTCACCTTTGGTGGACGTGTCCCAGGATTAAGGCTTTCTGGGAAATGATCTATAACGAATTGAAAAAGGTATTTAAATATACCTTCTTGAAGAAACCAGAGGCCTTTCTCCTGGGCATGGTCGGCCAGTTGGTGTCAAAAAAGGATAGAACTTTCTTTATGTATGCTACAACAGCAGCAAGAATACTTATTGCAAAGTATTGGAAGACGCAAGACTTACCCACTCTGGAAGAATGGCAGATGAAGATGATTGACTGCATGGGATTGGCAGAAATGACTGGCAGAATCCGTGACCCAGGGAGAAGAGTCGGCGGAAGAAGATTGGAAGAAATTCAAGGACTATTTACAGAAATATTGTAAAATTAATGAATGTTGTAAAATTAATGAATGTCGGATAGAAATTAAGGGTTTTTTAGCTGTAATGCTTTAAGTGACATGGGGGAGGAAAAAAAGGGGTATAGAAATAGGTCAAAAATATGGATAAGGATTTGCTGAACAAACAATTTGAATTGAAATACAAGAAGGGGAGGTATGAGGAGGTCAGGGAAATATGTTATTGGAAAATAAGTATTGTGAACTTTATGTGTTCTTAAACTTTTTTGCTTTTTGCTTTTTGATTGTATTAAAATTGAAAACTTTAATAAATATCTTTTAAAAAAACTCCACTGGAAGAATGGTACACATTTGGAAAGAAAAGATGCTGCAGGTACCAGTGAATCCCCTGGTTGGTCCATTTTCACTTATAAGCATCATGGGGCTACCCCAGGGCTACTGCTTTTATGACAAGCAATCATCATCATCATCATCATCGTTGATTGGGTTGCCCCAGACACTCTGGAGTCTTCTAAAAGTTATGTACTGTGGTTCTTTATCTGCATGGCATCTCAATACATCTTATGGGAGAGCGTTTCACAGGGCGGGCGCCACCACCAAGAAGGTCCTCTGCCTGCTTCCCTGTAACTTTCTTCTTGGCGTGAGGGAACCAGCAGAAGACCCTCGGAGCTGGATCTCAGTGTCTGGGCTGAACAATGGGGGTGGATTTGCTCCATCCGGTATACAGGGCCAAGGCCAATTAGGGTGTGCACCAACACTCTGAATTGTGCTCAGAAACATACCGGGAGCCAATGCAAGTCTTTCAGGACCAGTGTTATATGGTCCTGGCGGCCACTCCCAGTCACCAGTCCAGCTGCCACATTCTGAATTAGTTGTAGTTTCCAAGCCACCTTCTAAGGCCGCCCCACATAGAGCGCATTGCAATCATCCAAGCGGGAGATAAACAGAGTATGCACCACTCTGGCAAGACACTCTGTGGGCGGGCAGGGTCTCAGCCTGCGTACCAAATTGAGCTGGTAAACAGCTGCCCTGGACGCAGAATTGACCTGCACCTCCATGGACACCTGCGAGTCCAAAATGACTCCCTGGCTGTGCACCTGCTCCTTCAGGGGTACAATTACCCCATTCAGGACCAGTGAGCCCTCCACACCTGCCTGCCCCCCTGTCCCTCAAAAACAGTATTTCTGTCTTGTCAGGATTCAACCTCCATCCATTAGCTGCCATCCATCCTCCAACCTCCTCCAGACACTCACGCAGGACCTTCACTGCTTCTGATTTGAAAGAGAGGTAGAGCTGGGTATCATCCGCATACTGATGAACACCCAGCCCAAACCCCCTGATGGTCTCTCTCAGCAGTTTTATATGCATGTTAAAAAGCATGGGGGAGAGGACAGAGCCCTGAGGCACCCCACAAGTGAGGGCCTGAAACCCGACTGGAAGGGGTCCAAGTGATGTGCTTCCTCCTATCCAACTTGGTTGCTTTTGCATGGACGGTGCATCCGTAGGCATTTTTTTAACAAAAGTAGCAAAGGCTAGAGTTTCATTTTCCTTTATTTTTTTGGAGGTAGAAGCACTGCCAACATGCAACCCTTGCAAAAAGAGAGGTCTGTTTCCTTCTGGCTGGGTGGAGGGCGCTATCTTGTTACACGTCTTGTTCCCTTCAGGATTAAAGCCAGTTAATGCAATTTCCCAGAGGGAAAGAGAGAAAGGGAGGCTGGGTGCTCGCCCTCCCCATCGCCCAGCACCTTCCCCTAGAAAGGGGGTGTGGCTTATCAAGAAAGACTGCCCCTCCCCCTCACACCTCCTGCCACCCTGGACCTTCCAGGAATCGGGCTGAGTGCAAAGCGCCTTGAGGCGCAGCAAACTTTTGTTTTTGGTGGGGGGTACAATGTCAGTGGCGAAGAGACGCGGGTGGCGCTGTGGGTTAAACCACAGAGCCTAGGACTTGTCAATCGGAAGGTCGGCGGTTCAAATCCCCTTGACGGGGGGGGGGGGTGAGCTCCAATTGCTAGGTCCCAGCTCCTGCCAACCTAGCAGTTCGAAAGCACGTCAAAGTGCAAGTAGATAAATAGGTACCGCTCCAGCGGGAAGGTAAGCGGCGTTTTCATGCGCTGCTCTGGTTCACCTGAAGCGGCTTAGTCATGCTGGCCACATGACCCAGAAGCTGTAAGCCGGCTCCCTCGGCCAGTAAAGCGAGATGAGCGCCGCAACCCCAGAGTCGGCCACGACTGGACCTAATGGTCAGGGGTCCCTTTACCTTTACAATGTCGGTGGGATGTGGGGGCGGAGGGAGAGAGAGCAGACCGGGAAACTGCTGGATAGGTGAGGAAAGAGAGATTCTCCCCCCCCCAAATGAAGGTAGGTGGGTGCACACCTGGTTCATCCTCGTTGCAGAGAAGAGCCAGGGAATGTCTCTGAAGGTGCATACACACAAACACACACACGTGTGAATGCGCACACACAAAACATAAGAAGGCCCTATAGTTGGAGCAGACCAAGGGTCCCATCTCGCCCCGAATCCTGCTCTCCCGGAGTCCCAGTGGGAAACCAGATGCCCGTTTTGGGAATCCTGCAAGGAGAATTTCAGCCCAAGAGCATCTCTCCCCTCCCTGCTCGGTGGTCCAGGCAGCAGCTGGAAAATGCTGTCTGCAGAGTTTGGAGTCTGTCTGGGTTCTCTGTCAGGGACCAAAGGGTCTTGATCCGGCCGTGCTCCTCCTCCTCCAGAAACCCCCTCCCCCGCCAATGGGGTGGGCGTGGAGTTGGGCAACTTCGCAAGGGAGCCCAAAGGGGAGGAAGCCGAAGGCAGCGCCGTCACGTCCGGCTCCCATGCGAAAAGAGGAACTTCTCCCAGGAAGGGGTCTCTCTGTGGGTCGGAAGTTAGCAGGAAGTGGGGGCAGAAGGAGCCCCTGGAGAAGCGAGAGGTCTGAGAAAGGTAAAGAGGGGCGCCAGTCGACCACGGACCCCCCTTCTCCGCTTTGCATTGCAAGAAAGGAAATCGGAATAGCTACGAAGGGAGGCGGATGGTCAGAGGAGAAAGAGGTAAAGATGCCGGTGGAGGGGAGGGAGGGGGGGAGGGAAAGGATAGAGAGACCCCTTCTTGCTCCCCCAAAAGCTCCTGCCTTGGGACGAGGGCGGGGAGGGGCGATGGGGTCGGAGAGAAAGGGGCACAGAGCCCCCCCCATTAATCTCTTGTCCTGGGACCCATATGGAGAGGCTCGCATCCATGCAATGCAGCTGCAAAGCGTGGACCCCCCCCACCTGCAGTGTTTCCCTTGCGCCGTCTCCTTTGAAGCCCCCCCCCACCAGACACGTTTTCCCACCAAGGGGGTGCCCCCAAAAGCCCCCACCCCCAAGCAGGGCGAGCCGTGCCAAGGAAGGCCAGAGGGTGTAGGGGAGACTTTGGGAAGAGGGGGGGAGCAGAGGATGTTGGGGGGCTGAGGGTTGAATGGAAGCCTCCCTGGGGGTGAGACGCCATGTTGATAATTGGTGGAGGGGGTGGAGAAAGAAAGAGGCACGGGGCCTTTTTCTGGGATGCCTCCACCTGGGGTGCTGGCAGGGGGTTTCTGCAGGGGCTGCCTTGGCTTCTCCATTGACCTAGAGAAGGATTCCTGCAAGCTGAATCCCCCCCCCCCCCATTTTGTCCCAGGAAAGCTGCTGCATCGGATGCTGGGAGCTCCAGACCCCTTGATCTGCATTCTTCCAATCCAGACCATTGGTCCACTGGGAGAGGAGAGCAGAGGGGCACTTGAAGGAGTCCGTGTCAGGATAAAAAGGCGGGGTATAGATAAACAGAAGAAGAATAGCAATCATTCTAAGATTGCTTGAGGAGGCTTCTAGTCAAAGCAATTGGAGCCTCTTGTGAAGCCCCTGAATGAGACCAGCCTGAGAAGAAAGAGTGTCCGACAAGGACCTGGGAGGCAGGGGGTTAAATTCCCCTGGGGGATCTTGCCTCTTGGCCTCACCTGCCTCCTTGGAGGAAAAGGGGTGGGGGATTGATAAATGACAGAGCAGAGACAGACAAATGCATCAGGAAGATGTTCCAGATCATACAGGAAGGAGAAAACAAAATGCAGATAATTAGTATTTTCAGAGAAACCTCAGCAGAGAAGGTTTTTTGGGGCTCAGTGTCACTTGGGAGTTCAAGGTGGGCGTGGATACCAAGGGGTCTTTAGACGATTTTTCAGGGATTATGATTGACATCTGTATTCCAACAACCATATGGATCCAAGGTTCCCACACTAAATGAAGGTCTAGATGATGTCCCCAAAGTTGCCTGGCTTATATTCCAGAAAATGGCCTGGATATGTTCCAGAAGGGAGTGTCTCTCAGGTTCTGAGTCGGAAAGGGAGCCAGGTACAATGACCCCGATTTGAAGGCTGGCTTCTTCTTTATACTCACCTTTTTAATCTCTTCCCATGGAAACATCCCTGCTTCCACCTCCTCTCTCTTTCCCTCCTTCCCCACAATCAGGCCTCTGGACCTTTAATATCCACCTTTTCCCGTGTTGCAGATCTTCCCTGTTGGAGCACAGGTGGGGCTTTCCCTTGGGGTGGGGGGCGAGGAGTCCATGGCCCCCCACCCCAAAGGAGGACAGTGAGAGAGGCTTGGGCAGAGAATTCCTACAAGGATAGTGCTGTGTCCTGACTATGGGATGAGGAGGCACATTCCCTATCCATTATGGCCTAGGAGACTGATGGGGAATTATACGCCATTATAATTGCTCCGTGGTCTTTAGATGAAGTGTGATTAATAAATTTAATAAGTAATAATTGAGAAGTCATTAAGAAAAAGAAGTCAGAATAGGCCAATATCTATGTGTACTGTCCCTGGATCAAAGGACATTTCTTCTTTAAGTTCTCAGAAGTTCTTAAACCTAGCCCAAGGTTGTCCTTTGAACTAGCCAGGTGTTTAACTGAGAATCAGTCACAATCTGTCCATCATTTGAAAAATAAGGCTTTAGAGCCATTCTACCCCAAAATGGCAACTCTTGTTGTTGTTTAGTCGTTTAGTTGTGTCCGACTCTTCGTGACCCCCTGGACCAGAGCACGCCAGGCACTCCTGTCTTCCATCAGGGTCTTTTCCAGGGAGTCTTCTCTTCTCATGACTCCTAGACATTCAATTTTAGGCGGCTGTTACCTTCATTTAACAAGACATTTGGCACCTAGCTTCTATATATGAGTTTCTAACACTGATCCTGTTACCTCCACACAGTGCTGCCTCTGTCCCCCTTAGTAGGAAGTCACGTACCACTATCACACCCCTCTTCCTCCGCTGGGGAGTGGTAGGAATTGCTCCATAGCCTGCCCCTTCCACAGCCACCTTGGTGCGTTCTGAGGTCTGCATCTTGCTCCTCTGACCCAGAATTGATTTTGCAGCTCGAGTGACACATCAGGGTTCCTAACAGCCCCGTTTCTCTGTACCACATTCCTCCAGGTTTTCGTTTCCTGCAACCAGTGATCTTCCTCCTGGCTGGGGCCAACCCCACCTGTGTTGGTGTCCCAGGACAATCCACTCTGCTCTCTTTCAAGAAATCCCTCATCTTGCTCAGGAGCTCGTAGTGCAGATAGGCGGACCTCAGCTTGCTGTTCCTTCTCTTCCTGTGTCTGCTGCAGGTGTAATTCTGCACATTCTCAGGCAGGAGGACAAACATGGCACAGGTGTGGCAGGTCACTGCAGCAGCTCCCTCGCCATCCATGTCTCTTGCTCCTACACACAGCATGAGACAGGACTCCTGGCCTCCCCCTCACACTCAGAAGGGTGGTTTCTAAATCTAATAAATAAAAATTGGGGTGAGTGTTTCAATCTGGGATTCCAGCAGCCAGGCTCCAACAGCCTTTTCCTGCATCTCCAGCTCTCCCTCTGCACTGCAAGGCTGACAGATGGAGGTCCAGCTCCAAGGACATTAGCCTACCTGAGCACACCTTCAGTTTATTCCAAGCGCCAAGCCTTCTCACTAGTTCCATGCTACAGTCCCTAGAAAAACCTGAACCCTGGGTCTCCCAATATGGCTGCTATGCACCTCCTGGGGCCCAAGGGACTGTGTGGGTGATTAATAAATATCCAGAGGTCCAAAGGGCTAAGATGTGCCCCAGGGGTGGAATAATATTAGACAGAGAATGAAAAATGTCATTAGCAACTTTGTTTCTGAGAAATGGAGCGCACGTTTGTGTTGGCTATTTGCAGTATGGTAGCGCTTAACTTAAACAAGGTTTTAATTACAAAAACAAAAACTTATACACTAAATACATCAACAACAAACCAGACCCAACCACCAACCCATCCCCCAGGGTGATGGGAGAGCTAGGTGCTGCTCCTTATATACTACACCCAATTGCTGACACACCTTAATCAAATACAACTCAGCAGCCCCTGCCATGTTTCACAGCTGTAAACCTGGGTCTCGTTATTTTGCTCTGGCCCTTGCTCTGGCCCCTTAAAGACATACACAACTGGTGGAACAATGATGAACCTTTACATTTAAAGAAACCATTCAACACCTTGAAATACTAACAGGGGTTTTCCTCTCCTCTCATTTCCAAGCAGGTTATGGAGAAGACAGTGTGTCATCTGTAATTTCATTTGGAAATATGAAGAGACTATTTAAATGTGGTGAATGTGGAATGTGCTTCAGTCCATGTGCATAGTTAATAAACTCACATCAATAAACTCACAGAGTGGGGAAACCGTTTAAAGGTATGGAGTGTGGAAAGAGCGTCAGACACACTTCATCTCTTACTTTACATCATCTAACTCACATGAGTGAGAAACCCTACAAATGTATGCAGTGTGGATGGAGATTCAGTATGAGTAGACAACTTATTGTACACCAAAGGATTCACGAAACAGAAAAACCATTTAAATGTATAGAGTGTGGGAAAAGCTTCTATCATAGCATAATGCTAAGCAAGCATTTACGGACTCACACAGAGAAGAGACCATTTAAATGTATGGACTGTGGAAAGAGCTTCACACATAATAGAAACCTAAGCAACCATCAACGGACTCACACAGGGGAGAAACCATTTAAATGTATGGACTGTGAAAAGAGCTTCACACATAATAGAAACCTAAGCAACCATCAACGGACTCACACAGGGGAGAAACCATTTAAATGTATGGAATGTGGAAAAAGCTTTCGTTCAAGTGATAATCTGACTTTACATCATCGAACTCACACAGGGGAGAAACCATTTAAATGTATGGACTGTGGAAAGAGCTTCACACATAATGGAAACTTAAGAAAACATCTACGTACTCACACAGGGGAGAAACCATTTCAATGTATGGAGTGTGGAAAAAGCTTCAGTCAGAGTTCATCACTTAATAGACATCATCAAACTCACATGGGTGAGAGACCTTGTAAATGTTTGGAATGTGGAAAAAGCTTTCGTTCAGGTGAACATCTGACTTTACATCATCGAACGCACACAGGGGAGAAACCATTTAAATGTATGGAGTGTGGAAAGAGCTTTAGTCAAAAGGGAACTCTAAGACTACATCAACAGACTCACACAGGAGAAAAATGATCTAAATGTATTGAGTGTGGAAATAGCTTCAGTCAGAGTCAAACTCTAAGAGTACATCAATAGACTTGCACGGGAGAAAAACCATTTAAATGTATGGAGTGTGGAAGGAGCTTCTGTCACAGCGGAATGCTAAGAAACCGTCAAAGGACTCACACAGGGGAGAAACCTTATACAGCAAATGTATGAAGTGTGGAAAGAGCTTGAGTCTAAAGGAAACTTAGAGTACATTAACAGAAGCAGAAACTGCTTCTGTTTACTGGAGTACTTACAAAATGTTTACGGACTTATATGGAAGGAACCATTTAGATGTATGGAGTGTAGAAAGATTTTTCCTCAACAAGAGGAGGAGGAGGAGGAGGTTTGGATTTGATATCCCGCTTTATCACTACCCTAAGGAGTCTCAAAGCAGCTAACATTCTCCTTTTCCTTCCTCCCCCACAACAAACACTGTGTGAGGTGAGTGAGGCTAAGAGACTTCAGAGAAGCGTGACTAGCCCATAGTCACCCAGCAGCTGCATGTGGAGGAGCGGAGACGCGAACCCGGTTCACCAGATTACGAACCACCGCTCTTAACCACTACACCACACTGGCTCTCTCAAGGGTTCATTTCTTCCTTCTAATGAACAGGCTCCTATAGGTGGGAATCAAATTTAAAGGCATCCCATGTATGTGATGATCTGGTGTTTTAATGTAAAGTTGTGCTTTCATGTAGTAAAGTAATCAAGGTAGCGTATCACAATAGTTAGTAATGTATAAATGGCTTTGTACATCGTACCTCAGGTTGCGAACAGCCTCGTTGATGAACATTTTGGATTATGACCATTTCAAACCCAGAAATGAGTTGGTTAAACTAGTATTATAGGAATGGCAGCATGACATGCATTGTTTTAATTGCGGCCCAGGACCCACGTACCTACGGGACCGCCTCTCCTGGTATGCCCCGTGGAGGACCTTAAGGTCCACAAATGACAACATTTTGGAGTTTCCAAGTCACAAGGTGGTTAGATTGGTCTCAAGTAGGGCCAAGGCCTTTTCAGTACTGGCCCCAACTTGGTGGAATGCTCTCTCACAAGAGACTAGGGCCCTGCGGGACTTGACATCTTTCCGCAGGGCCTGCAAGACAGAGCTGTTCCACCTGGCCTTTGGTTTGGACTCAGTCTGACCGTTGTGTTTGCCTCCTCTTATGGTTTTGATCTGTGGACTACTTTTAAAAATGAGGCTCCATTTTAAATTGCATTTTAACCTGTATTTTAAATTGGTAAGGTTTTTTTTCCTATTCTGTTTTTACTGTAATTTTACTGGTGTTAGCCACTCTGAACTCGGCTCTGCCCGGGGAGGGCGGGGTATAAATAAAACTTATTATTACCGTATTTTTCGCTCGATAGGACGCACTTTTCCCCCTCCAAAAATGAAGGGGAAATGTGTGTGCGTCCTATGGAGCAAATGCAGGCTTCAGGCAGCTATCCACAAGCCTTCTGAGCCCGGCGGGAGTTCCCGCCGGGCTCCGAAGGCTTGCGGATAGCTGCCTGTTCTGGGGGCTGGGGTCAGGGGAAGCTCGGGCTTTCCCTGTCCCAGCCCCGCAGCTAAAAACAAAGCCGTACGCAGCTTCTCCCGGCTGGACAGGTTGCGCGTAGCTAAAGAGGAAGCCAAGACAGCTGTCTTGGCTTCTTTGCTTTTTGGGGCTGTCGGGGGGGAAATAAATTTTGTTTGACACTTATGTTTCCCCTCCCTTATGGTCTTGATTTATCAGCTATTTTAAAATAAGGCTGCATTTTAAATTGTATTTTAACCCGTATTTTAAATTGTTGTTTTTTCCCCTATTATGTTTTTACTGTAATTTTACTGGTGTTAATCACCCTGAGCCCGGGGAGGGCGGGGTATAAATAATAATTGGTGGGGGGGGGGTGGAGGAAGAAATAACCAGTCCATAATTTTAATGGTAGGTTTATTGTAGCTGTGAGAGAAACAGAATAACAACAGGAAAACCCCCAGAAACCTAGAAGACAAATCAGAGATTGATGTGCATTACAATGAGTGAAATAAGTATTTGATCCCTTATCCACCAGCCAGATGTCAGGCTACCTGGTATCTTCACTGTTACGTAACGAGCTGAGATTAGAAGCACCTGCTGTAAGGGAGAGGTCTTACCTGTTATCCCAGCTCATTACAGTACCTGTACAAAACACACCTGTCGACAGAAGCAATCAATCCAAAGGTGTTTTTATTATGCATTGGCTTGTGACATATATGGAAGGTGACTAATGAAGGTGGTTTTCCGCGTCTCTTAGGTCATAAAAATGTTCTAAAGGACTGTGTGGAAAAATTAGGGCTGAGGGACAATTGTGGAAGGGGTTGAGGGGTGTGAAGGGGAGACAGAGACGGAGAGAAGTCTCTGAGTCATTTGCTGAGGGATGTGGATGAAGGCCTTGGTTTCTCTCACACCAAATGTAACCGCTCTGTAGAAAAGACTCTACAACCTGAAAATGGAGATGGTGCACATACTTTTGTAACCCAAGAAAATCTTTAATAATTTTTTTTAATTGAAATAAAGGCCTTGGTCTCCTTCCATCGGACTTTCCTTTAAGCGAAGCAGCCCCTGTATCTCAGGTCTCTGAGCAGTTTAGGATGCCTACTTGAGAAATGTGCTTTAAATGGCTGTGTCTCTCAATGTCCAGGAGGAGACACAGGCTGCTTCCACAAAAGTGTGTGTGGAACGCACAGCAGCTTTGTCCCCACTGACCCTCGCCACGGGGTCCATAACTGCACCTTCCATACCACTTGGAAACTGACCGTTCCCTGTGCTGCTCATTAATGTGCTTGAAATACTATATTGTTAGTGGCTAGGCTATGATTAGTCCATCTTAAGACCTACAGTGTTTTGCTTTTGAAATCCCTTTTCTTCCTCCCTTCCCCACCTTTTATTTTATCCACCATTCCAGGAGCTCGTGGGGATGCTATGTTTGATTTCAGGCAAGAAATGAGGGTTTTCATCTCGTTACAGGAGACTGGTTGCCATTCAGGCTTCCTCTGATGACCTGTCTTCAATTAAACCCTGGGCCACCAGCTCCCAGCATTTGTCTTCCTTCTGTTCCATTAGCTAGTCCCAAGGGCTTTCGTATTTTCAGCTTTCTTGTCGTGGAGCAGACTCTTGTATTCCAACCTACGTTTGATCAAATTTTCCATGGATTCCTCTGATGGATTCTGATGTCTTAACTGTCTTAGCTGGAGCTTTCTTAGCTGCTTTGAATCAACTGCCAAACCAGCCAAGGTGTGTTGATTGTGTGTAATTAGTAATTGTAGGAAGTTATCTGTGATGGGCAGCTGAGCTAGGGCAGAATCAGGGGGTGCAGGGCCTCAGAATTCCATGAGAGAGCTGGAGCCTCTCTCTGATTGGTTACCAAGACGGGGGTGGAGCCAGCACTTTTGGAGGGAAAATAAAATGAGCCGTTTCTGAGAAAGTGGAGGGATAGTTTCGAGGGAGAGGAGGGAGGAGGGTTGTTTCTGGTCTGCGTATGAAGTGCACTCTGAGGAAATTATCCCAAGCTAGAGAAAGGGGTCTCTGAGCTTAGAAAGACTAGTTTTGAGAGAGTATTCAGACAGGAGTTAACTGGAAGGCTGGAAGCAAGGAGAAGTAGAAGCTGTGAGGATACTGTCTACTTGGGTCTCATTTCAGTCAGGAAGGGAAAGATCTACAAAGAGAAGAATCCCAAACCAGTTATGAAGGGTGTGGTGACCCCCTGGGTCTTCTATACTGTCAGAAGTACCTCAGGAGCGTGGAAACTGACAGAAAGCACCACCTTGTTTAAGAATCAAAATCTTAAGCTGCAACAGCTAAGTTAAAGAGCTGTAGTGAAATAACTGGAAATAAGCTCAGCATTGGCCACCCTCTCTAGACACCTGTAACATCGAAGAGGAATAACTTAAAAGAAGCAACAGAAGTTTAAAAGAAGCTGTGCATTTACTACTTTGTTTAGAAGCCTGTAACACACACTAAATTTAGTACAATTTATTATTGAGTTCACTGTTTCCTGAAAGAACATTATCTATCTCCTGACACATCCTTTGCTTTTTTCAACTTTGTTCTGTAAAATAAATCTTTCTTGTTTGTTCAACTTCTGCCAGAGTCTCCAAGGATCTTTGTTTACGTTCACACAAAAACTGTAAGATAACCCATTGTGATTATATAGTCAGTCAGGACTGACTGAAGAAACTGACTACAGTGGTATCTTGGTTCT